TGGGGGATCGTGTAGACCCGGGTGTCTGGGATGTGGGTGGATTGTTCAGTTATCTCAGTTGTGAGTCATCTTGCTGCGTGGGTTTCTAGAGGTCTTCTTCAGAGCTTTGTTTCAGAGTCAAATCTGAAGTCAGGAGAGTTCAAGAGCCTGAATTCAGCTCCTAGGACACCTAACCTGCTTTGCTCTTGTACGTGCCTTTGAATGACTCCTGGAACCTCCAAATACATTTCTATCGTGTACCTTAGCTCCGTGTCTACCGCCTGGTGACAGACTGAATGTCTACCAGGTTGAAGTTTTCACTCGTCAGGAGTCATGAAATACCAACTGAGACAATGCTGCAAACTCTAGTTGGAGAATCAATGTCATGTTTTATGCTAAGAACCTTTAGATTTTTTTCCTGGACTTCACTTAGAAGCAATTAAAATAACCTCATTAAAAGAAGTATTCAAAAATGTTAAACAAACCTGAAAACTAATCATCTGTTAGGAGAAGCCGTCAACACACAAAGAAAAGCATAGCATAGTAGACGCTAACTTTTGAGTTGAATCTCAAGCAATGTCTTCCCAATATCTGTAATTTCTATGGTGTTTAATTGCTTTTATCTGCTGCTTGTTTTTATGCTTTTTGATGTTCACTTAAATTCTGCCTTAAATTCTTACGTTTAATCCAATATGATATTTTGAAGTTAGGATTTGGAGAGTTTATGGCTATATCCCCGTGAATTTATTAAGACATCGTTTCCCTCATTCTCAACTTTCATATAGACTAGGTTGACAGAGACTCTACCCTTTCGTATCCAACATAGACATTGTTCTATCCATGTTGTAGCAAATGGCAAAAGGTTATCTTAATTTTTTTTTATAGCTGAGTAGAATTCCATTGTGCGTATATACTTCATCTTCCTAGTGGACACATCAGTCTCTTGGCACTAAGGTTGGCTCCATAGTCTGGTTGTTGTCAGTGGTGCTGCCATGAGCACATGAGCAGGTATTCCTTTAAATTAATGCCTTTGCTAGGAGTGCTTCTCTTGAAGAACTTCCTTCCTTTTTCGTATCACAGTTTTCTTTGGAAGTCACTTTGTTTCTTTCAGTGATCTCAATAGCTAATTTTCTTTCTCTAAATTCAACCTAGTACCTGTGTATCAAAATTCCCAGTAATTATATTCCTTCATATAGAAGACATTTTTATTACTTATTTAGTTTTTGTTTTCAGACTCAGGATTCTTAACTTGATCCCCATGAAATGAATGAACTCCTTCTTATCAACTTTATTCCCAAAGAAAAACACTTCTTTAAACAGAAGATGAACATTTCAAAATTTCAGATTTTCAGAACTTGATGGGTCCTTTGAGAACAAGCTCGATTATCTTGTACCCAGCAGGGGAGGGGAGGGTCTTAACTGACATGCCGACAGTCACGCCTGCACACTCTGGACAGCAGTGAGAGCAGCACCCAAAATAATAATGAGCAAAGGAGCAGTTCATGTTGCAATGAAAATGAGTCAAAATAAACAATCACATAGAAAGAAGGGATGGCTCTGGCTGTACCCTGGACCGAGTCAGTTTTGACACTACTTAGCACTCAGGGGTGACTTCTGTTGATCAGGCGCTGTGCTCTGACCTTCTTAATCACATCCCATTTCATGATGACAATAAGCCTTGTGAGGTAGGTGTTATCACTGCACAAGTTTTATAAGTGAAAAGCAACATTGAAGAGGCTTAAAACCTTTTATATGGTTAAAATGGCAGAGCCAGAATTCAACCTCGAGTCTTGGCGTTGGTAACTCATTATTTTTCAATATATTTTTTATTGTATGTATTTTTTATATCATTGTAGGGGCAGGAAGGGCACAGAGCAGGATCTCTATGATCCTGGCAGATGGGTAAAGGAGAGTCCTGGAACCCTCGGTGACTTTTTCAGGTTTTTATTGAGCTTTTGCCAAGTTCACAGCAGGCAGGAGTGCAGGGTGGCGGGGAGGTTGGCAGGCCTCCCAGACCCCGTGAGTCTTTACTCCTTCTGGGCTCTCTGGCGTTCTCTCGTGGTCTCTGCTTCTCTGCTGGTTCTGCTCGCATTCTCTGCTCTCTTCTCTGCCTCCGTTCCATGACGCTGCCCTTATAAGCCCAGGTGTGCCCACCTATGCATGGCCACACCCACTCCAGGGGCCAGCCATCAGGCATGCATGCAGGACCACAGCGATCCATCATTAATACTAATGCTGGGAGGGTGGATAAGCCTGATACCTTTTCACTTGCCCTACAATCATTCTTTATTTTGTGCAATGTATGCTTTCTCAGCTCGGTTATGGTCCCTGTGAAATTCCCTCCACCCTCTCACCTGCGGACCATCACCATAGTCTCTTGTGCTCTTCCCATCCCTGTTTTTATCCTACTCCCTTCTTCCCCCTGCAGAATGTCTCTGGTTTACTGTTGCTGTTGATTATGATTTTTGCTTTATTTTAATTACTTTTTCTCCCTGATCCCTTATTTGGATCCTCTACATTCCTTCTATAAGTGAAACCATCCAATAGTTTTCTTTTTTTTCTGGCTAATTTCACTGAGCACGATCCATTCCAGCTCCATCCATGTTGCTGCAAATGGCATGAGCTTTACTTTTTCAATTGCTGAGTAATATTCCATTGGCAATGCATTTTTTTTAAGTTTTTTTTTTAAGATTTATTTATTTATATATTTATACAAGCACTGGGTACAGTCAGACACACGGGAGGGTGAGGGAATTCACCAGAGCCAGAGTGGGGGACAGAACAGGCAGACTGACGAAATACACTGCTGAGGGGAGCAGCAGGCGCAGCAGGAGTTGTCTGCGCGCAGATAATGCATTTTTAAACACAAGATTTAAACACAAGATTTTTAGCACCAGATTTGTCAGATGACTATCTCACAAAATGGAAGATTGCCCACCTACTCCAAGGGGAGTCCTCCTGCACCCAGTGGGGAATGCCTAGGGGAGAACGAGACAAGGGACTGGGAATAAGACTTGGGCGGTGGTTGGCTGGCCCCTCTCCCCGCACCCCAGAGAATAATCAGCCTGCAGAAAGGGTGGGCTCTAATGGCTTTGGGCTTTTCACTTTGGACCTGGCTCGAGGGACCCACAGCAGCCCCATGCAAGACACGTGTAAGTCTTCCTACCCCCTGAAATAATGAACTCCCTCAGGCCATTTTTAAGAGTTGGTAACAAGGAACAGGGATTCCAGAAGCAGATATTACAGAGGCCAAAGCGTAAAAAATTGAAGTAGGAACCCGGCATAAAGCAGCAGGAAATGTAGGAAAACTGATTGTAAACAACGATGGACTAACCAGCCAGTTTTGTTTCCTGTATTGTGTGACCTCAGGACACTTTGCCTAAGTAAACCGGTAAGTCAAGCTTCTTCCTTCCACCTCATTCTCCAAAAATGACAATGATAAATGTACAAACTATTCCACATTTTATCTTTAAAAGGCGCATAAAATCTCTATTTATTCTCAGGACTTTTGGGTGATTCAATGAACTAATACACATCAAATCCTTAGAAAGCTTATCTGGTACTCAAGGAATGCTAAATAAGTGTTTCTATTTTGTGTTATATATTATATTATAATTGATTGCTCACTGAAATACTGCTCAGCCCAAACTCTGCTAATCTCCCTCAATGAGCAGTGAAAAAAATTCATTCATTTAACAAATATTTGCTGTGCCTTTATCCTAGTCACTGTTGTGATAGTCTCAGTCTAGACCAGTGAAGAGAACAGACAGAACTCTCTCTTGCCTCTGTGTCGTTTACATTCTGGTAGTGAAAATTTTAGTACAAGAAACACCAAGCTCATCTTATTTCCCTTTTGGTAGGTTTAACACAGTGATGTCCCAGTGAAGGGTTGTCCCAGTTCTTGGTTTTTACTGTCCATGTCTCTGACAATTTTTGGAAATGCACATCTAAGAGTCATATTTATTTATGTTAACAATTTCATTGAGATAGCCCTAACATATAGATGTTTGCCTCCATTTAAGTGATACAACCTGATGTTTCTATATGTAAATATATGCATATATGCACATATCATGTATACTTGTATACATGGATGTCATTTGTGGCAACAAATGATATGTAACACATATATACCCTTATAGGCTTCCATGTGGTGAAAAGATCACCTAAATAACTTATCCAATGCTTCTTCATAGTTATCCTTTTGTATGTGTGGTGAGAAGATTTAAGATCCTCTTGGAAAACCACAGTACCGTAGTGCTGATGATTGTCACCCGTTGTTCATTGTGTCTCCAGAACTGCTTCATCTCACACACTTAATCTATGTACACTTGACCAATATCTCTGTATTTTCCTGACCTCAGCTCCTGGCAACAGCCATTCTACTCTCTGCTTTCATGAGTTTAACCCTTTTAAAGTCCATATAAGACCACACAGCATTTGGTTGTCTGTGCGGGCGGTTTCACTTAGTAGGAAGCTCGCCAGGTTTATCCATGTTGTCACAGATGCTCGTGCTCTTTTTTTAATGGCAGAATCACAGTTTACTGTGTGTGTCTATATATTCTTTATCCTTCCATCTATTACTGGCCCAAGTTGTTTCCATAACTCTGTAATTGTGAATAATGCTGCAATGAGCTTGGGAGTGCAGACGTTTCTTCTAGATAGAGATTTCATTTCCCGTGGATACATGCAAAGATGTGGGATTACGGGTTTAGGTGGTAGTTCTGTTTTTAACTCCTTGTTTTCTGTAATGGCTATGCCAACTTAGTTGATTTTTAAATGCATTTTATATAGTGACTAGTATAAAAACTTGTCTAAAATGAAATTATCTTCTAATAATTAAAAAATACACATATAGCATACATAGTGTAGAAAGTACCAGAGATTATTGTAGTCTGATAGCCATTGAGAAGACTGCTTAGCAGATGTCTGGGGCTTTAGCTTGTTGCTCCCTGTGGTATGATCACTACTACAGTAACAAACAAAATCCAACTGATCACAGAATTGCTTCTTTCCTTTGTGCAGGATGCAGGCCTATGGCTGTGGGAAGAAATAACACAGTTGTGACAAAATTCATCCTCCTGGGATTTTCAGATCAGCCTCAAATAAAGATTCTTCTTTTTGTGCTCTTTCTGGGCATATACCTCCTGACCCTGGGCTGGAACCTGAGCCTCTTCACCCTCATCAGGATGGATTCCCACTTGCACACGCCCATGTACTTCTTCCTTGGTAACCTCTCCTTCCTGGACATTTGCTACGTGTCCTCCACGACTCCCAAGATGCTCTCTGACATCATCACAGGGCAGAAAGCCATTTCCTTTCTTGGCTGCGCCACCCAATATTTTTTCGTTTGTGGCATGGCACTGACTGAATGTTTCCTTTTGGCAGCCATGGCCTATGATCGCTACGCCGCCATCTGTAACCCATTGCTCTACACAGCCCTGGTGTTCCATACACTTTGTTTAAAGATGGTGGCTGGTGCCTACGTGGGTGGATTCTTTAGCTCTTTTATTGAAACCTACTCTGTCTATCAACATGATTTCTGTGGGCCCAACATGATCAACCACTTCTTCTGTGACCTTCCTGCAGTCCTGATTTTGTCCTGCTCTGATACCTTCATCAGCCAGGTGGTGAACTTCATCGTTGCCGTCTTCGTCGGAATAGCATCTGTCATTGTGATCCTCATCTCTTATGGTTACATCGTTTCTGCTGTCCTGAAGATCAGCTCAGCTACAGGTAGGAGCAAGGCCTTCAGCACCTGTGCCTCTCACCTGACTGCCGTGACTCTCTTCTATGGTTCTGGCTTCTTCATGTATATGCGGCCTAGTTCCAGCTACTCACTAAACAGGGACAAGGTGGTGTCCATAATCTATTCCTTGGTGATCCCTATGCTAAATCCCATCATCTACAGTCTTAGGAACAAGGAGATTAAAAGCGCCGTGAGGAAAGCTGTGGCAAGGGCTCAAGTTCTTTCTCATGGGCACTCACTTTTCTGCCACTGAGCAGAGTCAGTTGTGAAGATTTTCAGGTTGTTTTGGACTGGTTGACCTACGCAGTGATGGGTGTTGAGCAGGCTTTCTCTTCCCTCCCCTTCCAGATTCCCCTAATCAATTAATGTACTGACTACTGGGAAACAGTTTGACCACAATTAATTTCTGGAATGAGTAGCATTGTATTGCTTGGGATCTTAAATGCTCAGTGTAGCAGAAATCTTCACCACCATAAAGACTGAAGAACTTGGGACATCGAAATAGAGTTTGAGTCCACAAGAGCTAAACATTGGGGAAATGTTCGTCCAGCATTCAGCATGGTGATTCTTCAGGTAGGGCAGGAATGAGAGTATAGTCACTCAGGAAAGGTGTTCTTTTTCTAAACAGAGTTGATTTCTTTTCTAAGTTTTGCAAACGCTTCCCTTCACAGGCAGACACACTCTCTATGTGAGATCTATGGCCGTGTTAATTTACAGAGGTAGAGTCCAACTATTTAGTTATATTAAGGCAGGACAGAGATGCAAAACTTCTGGTTAGGGTCTTAGTGACTGAACAAATGGGACAACACCATTCACTCAACTGCAAAAATTAGTCAGTGAAATGATTGAAACCAGGAATCATTATTTGAACCCAAAGTAACAGTTTCCTAATCTACAAAGTTTTTCAGGAAGCGATGGAAGAGGCTCACACCTTCCTTTGGAAAATTTCCCATTTTTCACTCATTTTATGTGAACTTCTAGAAGAGGATTTAGCCAAGGAAGAAGAGAATGATTTTCCCTCCACCTTTATTATGAAGTTGATGTGTCCTTGAACTGGCATTAAATACTGGAATAAATTTGCTCTGCTGTGGCCTGTCTTGGGGAGGCCATTATTGAGGGAGTAAATAAGTATCTGCTTCTGTGTCCAGGGCAAGTTACTTGGTCTCAGTGTGCCTCATCTCCTCCTCTGTAGAACAGGAATACTGAGAGTTAATAATCCATAGTGTTAATGGGAAGAATGAAATGAGTTGGTGTATGAAACCCTCATTGTCTGCTGCATATGTTCAGGATATGTATTAGTATTATTCATTATTATTATCCTATAATACTTTACACATGTCCATGTTTTCTCTTTGAGCCAAGAGATACAAGACATTTCTTTAGTGTGGTGGAAACTTTGATGCATTGAAAAGTGGATCAGTGGAGACCAAAGCAAAGAATATTTAAGATTGTTTGTTCTCTGGTCATTGTACCCGTGATGCTCATCTCATCTCTGCCATTTTGTAATTTTCTAGTCTTAATTGAGCTACCTATAAGCTCTGTTTTCCTAATCTGCAAAATGGGGATATTTATTCTGTCTACCTCAGAATTAATACAACAATTAAGCGAGGCTATGCATGAAGAAGACTTTGCCCAGTTTTGGTTTATGGCAAAAAATGCTGGCTGACATAATCAATTGGTCAAGAGTTACTTTGCTAAAAGGAGACAGAGCAAGAAGCTCTGGCCAGTCTTCTCAGATTGAGGCATCATAGGAAGGCATGCCCTTTCTCCCATATCTCCTTCTTCTCGGCTTTTAAGAAGCAGTCCTTAGGGAAACAAGAAGAACTCAAGTTTATCCACCTGACTAGGTTTGGGATATAGCCAGACATGTGGGCCTTGGTGGCTCTTTTGGCATTTGGCCAGCTCTCAGCATGCTATTGGGGTTCCAGCTCATGGAACTGGCACGACGCATTCACCAATTTATCTCCTTCTTTTTCTCCCTGAATTATTCATTTCCCCTTCTTTTGTAAATTAGCCCTTTATTAACCTTTCTACCTGTGTCTGTAGTTGAGTCTTATTACACATCCCTTTTAAGCAAGTGGGTGAGGACCCACAGTCAGGCAACCAATTTCATAGTGGGTTTGCCCGCAGCGGTTGAGCGCTGGGTTGTGAAGCTGCCTGCAGCCTCTGCAGCGCCGGTTCGATCCCCGGCTGCTCCCCGGCCACCAGAGGAGGGTCCCACATGGCGCGCAGAACTCTCCTGCCGCCCGCTGCTCCCCTCAGCAGTGTACTTCGGTCCTTCTGCCTGCTCTGCTCCCCACTCTGGCTCTGGTGAATTCTCTCACCCTCCCGCGCTTCTGACTGTACCCAGTGCATGTATAAACAAAACAAACAAACAAACAAATAAATAAATAAAACATGCCTCTATTAAAAAAAAAAAATTAAAAAACAAACAAACAAAAAAAAAAACCAAAAGAAATAGCCACTGCAGGACCTTGCAAGCCTGTCTTGGAGCCTGTGAACATATCCCTTCAGAGTAGCCAGACTTGATGGCCAGCATCATCCAGTTGGAATGAGACAAAGCACAAGTGTGTAGGTGGATCCACACTCTAGAAATAAACACTCTAGAGGAATAACAAATCAAGACCGTGGAAATGGAAACTTTGGGACCTAGGTAGGGTGTAGAGAAAAAGTATCCTATTTTATATTCCAGGATATATCTGTATAGAAATTTTATATCAGTACTGGAAATCAGAAGTCTCCTGCATAATAGATGGGGCTTAAAACTGCATATTTGGTTGCAAATCTATTAAGAACAACTAGACCCCTAGATCAGCCTCCCTACCCCTCCTTGTTGCATTCAGGAAACTCCTTTCCCCTTATATCCCCACTCATCTTTCTTAACTTGAGCGAAAGACTGAAGATTATCCTCTGTAGATTGTAACAAGAGCTATAGACTCAGGGTCATCAGACCTATCTGTGAGAAATGCTAAGAGAAGAGGGATTATGATAATATCTACATAATGAAAAAGAAATTCTCCCTATTTGAGTCCCTTCCTAAGTTTGTATTCCACACATAGCAGTCACTCATTTAACTATCAGTACTCCTACGTGGGATGGCATCTCTGGATCAGAAACCTGGAGAATTCCTATAAGGAGGAAAAATCGTGCCCCAAGAGAAAAATCCTTGTTGTCAGTTACAGTAGGCGTTCATCAGAGCCAGTTCTGGCCAGACCACCAAGCAGAAAGCCCATCAGAGGACAATCTCTGATCACAAACATGAAGCTTCAAACTTTCTTTTTAGTGCCTTGCTCTGCAATATGAAAGGACAGCTGAGGATCACCGGAAAGAGATGATCTAATAAACAGGATTTAAAAAGAGAAAGAGAACTCACACAAAAAAAAGGTAATACAGGGAGATAGTCATGTGTCAAATATAAAACTTGAAAATCAATACAGGGTAAAGGGGGTATTGTATCTTTATTTTTTCTATTTTTTAATTTTTTTGTTATACAAGTCTTTTATTGAATCTTTCACATTGTATACTCTTTCTGTTAATCTCTCTTCCTGGGGTGTCTCTTTGGTATTTAGAAAGGTTTGTATTTCATTGTAATTGTCTGTGAATAAATGCATTAATTTTCCCTGTCTTACCTGCATCCTATAATTATTTTTCATGCTTAATTGCTGTGACCAGAACTTCCAGTACAATGTTGAATAGAAGTGTGAGAATGTACATTCTGCATTGTTCCTGATCTTAAGGAGAAACTACTAACTTAGTCTTTCACTACAGATTATTATGTCAGCTATAGGTTTTTTCAGATGCCCTTTAACAGTTTGAGAAAATTCCTTGCTTCTCTGAGTTTGTTTATCAGGAATAACTTTTGGCTTTTGTTAAATACCTTTCCTTCTATTGAAATAATATCTGACTTTTCTATTTTAGAGTGTTGTTGGTTAATTTCAAATGTTAGTGGCCCAACATTATCATCTTTTAAGGATTTAAAAGATGATAATGTTGGGCCTCCCCGGTGCCTCAGTGGGTTGAGCGCAGTGTTTGCTGTGAGGCAGTGCGGGTTCGATTGCTAGCCAGCCAGGGAGATACCCACATGGTATGGCAGACCTCTCCTGTCTGACCTGCTGCTCCTCAGCAGTGTTTTTGGCCCATCTGCCTGTTCTGCTCCCTGCTCTGTCTCTGGTGAACTTTCTTACCCTCCTGCACCTCTGGCCTGTACCCCAGTTCTTGCATAAATAAATAAATCCTTAAAAAAAGATGATAATGTTTCATTTTACTGCTACATAAGGAGTAAGAAGGGGAATGAACCCAGGAACTTTTCCCTTTGTAGGTCTACTAAAATGATTTGACTTTTATAACCATACCTACTTAGTATTTATCACATTTATAATTAAATTTCAAAACAGTGGCTAATTAATAATTGCTGTCTTACATTCATAATAATTATTTCTCTAAGGAGTACTTTGAAATTATGTATAAATATATAAAAATATTTCTATATAGCTTGACATATATATTTGAATTATAATTTTTTTGAGGGGACAATGGTCTATTCTGTACTCAGTTATCTTTATTTGAGTAAATTGATCCTAAATCTGGGCTTCAGGATTGAACTCTGATTGACTTATGGCCATCAGAAAATGCCCAATAGCCATTGCAACTAGCTTGGAGTGGATGTCAGAGATATGAGCCAAAGAAATCCAGAAAGATGCAGGGAAATATTAGTTGGGGATTATCTCCTTTTGTAGATGTTTCCAGAGGAGACACTCTTGAATGATGTAATTTAAAGCTGTTGAGACCTAGGACTTGTATAATTTTATTGACTTCCAGGCATTTGCATAACAATTTTTGGGAATACAACTTCACATCTCTGTATGAGCACACGCTTTACTCATCTTCCACCAAAACTCTGTTTCCAATACCCAGTCATCTCTCCTCTCCCTCTCCCCCTCCATACAGCCCTTCGGGTAACCATTATATTTTTCACAGAGCTAAGAGTTATTTTTGTTGTGTTTGTTTTCTCTTGTTATTTATATTCCACAAATGGGTGAAACCATAAGCCAAACTTTTTAACCTTAAGACCCATCCATTAGTCTCAAAAGGCACTATTTCACCTTTTTAAAAGGCTGAATAGTTTCCATTGAGTATATATCCCACAATTTCTTTATCCAGTCATCTGTCAGTGGGCTTAGGTTGGTTCCATGACTTGGCTATTGTGAATATATGGAACAGGAAAACATTAAACTATGATGTTTTGTGGCGAAT